TACGAGATTTAAATTTGGGCCAATATAGATTTATAGATGTTATGTTGTGGATAGAGTGAGGGACTAGGATTCTGGAGAACAGGGATCGAATCCCCACTTGGCCATGGAAACTCACTGGGGGAGTGGAACTGGTAAAACCACCCAAATATCTCACTTACCTTGAAAGCCCTATTAGGGTCTCTATAAGTAGGTTCCAACTTCACAGCAGAGAAAACAGATAGATTTAAACTGAACAGAAGCAGTGCAGTCTAATTTCCTAAGCAAATATTTACTGTACCAGGCTGTGCTCCAAATTCTTTTTTGCAGTTGGAAGGGGGTCTCCCATCATTTTCTTCACAGACGTGGCTCAGAACATTTAACTTTTGGCTATAGTTGAAATTAGGTCCTCTTGCTCTACTTTCTTTTGTTATGGAAGAGCCACATGAAAGCAAAATATATGAAAGCTATTACTACGTACTTTTGGAATGTCACCTCAACACCTATTGATCATTAGTTATGGCAAGGCAAGGGATTTACTAAAACAGTGCTTTTATGACCTTGAAGATCATAATTTGCCTGCCACCAAAAATTCATATTCTTGGTATGACTGTATTCCAGCAAATCACACAAATACAACTGCACAGTATCTACAAGTACTAATAGTTCCTAAATACAGAAGTGCCGTTTCATGCGCACAATGTCAGCAGTAGTACTTGAGGGTCTTTTTCAGAAGAATTATATTACAAAACTGTATATGCCCATTTGGTGACAGTACTGAAACGCTCCCCCATGTATTACTTTTTTGCTCTTTTTTCAGAGATGTGCACAAAGAGTTCATTTGTCTTTTGTTAGATAACAAGCCAGGCCAGTCACCAGACTGTTATTTATTTTTCTTCCTGCAGACTGATAGTACAGTTTGAAAATTTTTTAACAGCCGCAATTAAAATAAGGTTAAAATTACTTAAAAACTGTAATTCTTCAAAGACTTATCTCTTAAATTTTGGAGTCGGTATATTTTATGATTATGCTTTTTATCTTCTTGATTTACTATGCTGCTATTATGTCACATTAACATTTTATGTACTACTTGCAAAGGCATATGGCTAAAGCAAATAGATAATAATCTACCAGACCAGCCAGAAGGTAGGGTAGTTATTCCCCTCTCCTTGTTCTTTGAATATTGAGAAAGTAACAAAGAATGGCAGCTGCTGACCAAGAAGTAAACTAAAATAACACCTTCCTGTCCTGGCTGTCAAAAACCTAGTACTGTAGGTCTTTGGATCTTTCAACAGCCACCCCACC